ACAGCCAGTGACCCCTACCCCGCTCCCCACAGCGCCCCCTGCTGGGACAGGCTGGGCCCCGAGCAGCCGGGAGCCCCCCCCATGCAGTGCTCCCAGCATAGGTTGACCATACATCCCATTTTGGCCGGGACAGCCCCCCCGTGTCGGCTGTCCCGATTTTTTTGGCAGAAGTGGGCATTTGCTTTGCTGACGTGAGCAGTGGGACAAATGCCCACTTTTGTCAGAAAAGTGGGGTGTGCAGGAGGGCGAGCGGCGATGCCAGCCCCGCACAGGTGGGGGGAGGGAGGGAGGGCTCGGGGGAGCAGTGTGGGCCAGCCCTGAATGAGGAGCGGGGCTCGGGCGAGTGGCTCAGGCCAGCCCCACAGGGTGTCCTGTTTTCCCTTCGGGAAATATAGTCACCCTCTCCCAGGCTGCTCCCCACAGCGCCCCGGAAAAGCTGTCCCAGGGCTGCCTGGTCATTTCCTTTCCCCTCTGGTTCCAGCCCCCCCCGTTCGCGTTGTGAATAAGGAGGAGGCCAAGATGCCCGTGGAGGTCCTGGAAGGGGAGAGTGTCACGCTGGTTGCCCGGCTCACCCAGGAACAGGCTCCTGTCCAATGGCTGAAGAACAAGCGGGTGCTGCGTTCCGGGGCACGGCTCCTCCTGGGCACCCAGGGGCCCTCGCACAGCCTCACCATCAAGCAGACGGAGCTGGGCGACAGTGGCACCTTCAGCTGTGACACTGGGGACGACGAGGTGCACTTCACCCTGCGAGTGAGAGGTGAGCCAGGCGGTGGGGAATGTCATTGCCTGACCGGCTTCCTGCCCAGCTCTCTGCCCGACTCCCTTCCTCGCTTCCTGCCAGCGCCCGGCTCCCTGCCCGGCTCCCGCCAGCGCCCGGCCCCCTGCCCAGTTCCCTGCCCGGCTCCCTTCCTCGCTCCCTGCCAGCGCCCGGCTCCCTGCTAAGTTCCCTGCTCAGCTCCTGCCAGCGCCCGGCCCCCTGCCGAGTTCTCTGCCCGGCTCCCTTCCTCGCTCCCTGCCAGCGCCCGGCCCCCT